GGCATACGTATGCCGCGCTGGCCGCCGCCGCCGCCACTGCTGCAGATGAGCCGGCATGGGGGGAGGCTGAGGAGGGCTCCGCCAGCGAGACCCAGGGTGACAGCAGCGCCAGCGAGGAGGAGGCCCATGGCGGCACCAGCGGGGCCGAGGGCCAGGAGGACAAGGTGCTGGCGCCGGCAGGGGCGCCGCCTGCAGCGGACTGCACGTTCTGCCTGTCAGACCAGCGCCTGCAGAGCGTGCTGGCGCGCTGCCCCAACGTCAAGCAGGCGCTGCTTGTGCTGCTGAAGCTGGTGCACACCAACCAGGTGGCTGCACCAGCAGCGACCAGCGGCCCACCGTGAACCTGCCTGCCAGCAACCCCTGCCAGCATGAACACTCCTGCCCCCCCGACCCCCGACCCCCGCGCCTCAGATCTCGCCGCTGCCGCTCGACCGCTGCGCTGCTGCGGGTCTGCCGGCGCCGCACATGCTGGAGAGTCCCCGCCAGCTGGCGTGCGGCCGCGCAGTGCTGCGCGTGGCGGAGCTGCTGCAGCCGGCGCTGCAGCCGGCGCTGCAGCCGCTGGGGATTGAGGTGCTGCCCAGTCGCCAGGAGGTGGCGCCCTATGGCGTGCTGCTGCTGCTGCCCCACGGCTGGCAGCCCGACGTGGGCCGCGAGGCGGTGCTGGCACAGGTGCGCCGCTACTACCGCGGCGCGCTGGACGTCGCGGCCCTGTCGGACATCCTGGACGGCGCGCTGGGCAGCGGCGCCGCGCTGCCGCACACCACAGCTGTGCGCTCTTACCTGTTTGGAGAGGGCGGCGCGGCAGGGGGCGGCGCCGCAGGGCCCAGCAACAGCGGCGCTGCCGCGCCCGCCAGCCTGCAGCAGCTGCGGGGGCTGGTGGCCTCTTCTTGTGCCGAGCTGGAGGGGCGGCTTGTGGATGTGGCCAGAGAGCAGTACGGCAGCGAGGCAGAGCCTGCAGGCACGCGCTACAGCACCCGCGGGAGCAGCCGCAAGCGAGGGGCAGAAGGCGAGCCGGAGGATGAGCCGCCGGCGGCGGCCTCCCGCGGGGGTACCAAGTGGACTGATGAGGTGCGCTGCCGGTTGTGGCTGGATGGAGGAAGGGGCTGGCGCCGGCAGGCAGCTTGTTTTGCCGTGCCGCAAGCAGCAGTTTCCTTGCCGCATGCAGTGCCATGCAGTTGCTCAGGCAACGTGCCCCCCTGCCGGCCCGCCTGCGTGCAGCAAGATGCGCAGCTGCTAAAAGTGGCGGGGCAGCACATGATCAAGGGCGGCGGGCAGGCCAAGGGCAAGATGGTGCCAGACTACCAGACGGTGGCCAAGGTAGGGAGCCAGGAGTGCCGCACGGCGCGGCGCAAGGGGCGGCCGCTGCCGCCGCCGCCGCCGCCCACACCAACCAGCCTGTCTGCACCAGCTGCTCAGGCTGCAGGGCTGTGCTGACTGCCCTCCCTGCAGATCGTGAAGCGCAGCGTCCCCAGCATCAAGCAGCGCTACAAAGCACTCATCCAGGTGAGGCCAGCCAAGTCGGGGTGCGGCGCCTGCTGTGCACCGGCGTCAGGAGCAGCGGCGACCATGCCACCGCTGTGCAGGCCTGCCCATGCTCGATCCCCGCCCCCTCCCCCCTCACCTGCATGCACACACTGCCACCAGCAGCACCCACCCTGCGTCCGACCAACCCATGCTGCAGGCCGAGGCCAAGGCGCCTGAGGCTCCGCCACCTGCGCCCACGCCTAGCGGCGCCCCCTCCTCCACCCGCTTCCACTTCCAGGTGTGTGAACAGGGCTGCCGTGGCATGGCAGCTAAAGCCGCAAGCTGCCGCATCATGCCGCAGCTGTGCCGCAACGAGCGCTGGGGCGGCCACCCCACCGCTGCACTGGCCCAGCGGCCTGACGCCTGCTGCACCGCCTGCCCCCATCGCAGACGGTGCCTGCGGTGGGCGAGCCGCGCGTGGCGGGGCGCAGCTACCTCTTCATGGTGGTCAGCACGATGGGCGGCGATGTGCTGGACCTCACCATCAGCCTGGGGGGGCGGTGCCTACATCGGCCAGCTGCCGCAGTACCTGTCCCGCTCCCAGCTGGTGTGCGCGCTGCCCAGCAGCGGCGGCGGCGAGACCCCCAGCGGCGGTGGCGGCGGCGAGGCCCCCAGCGCCGCCATTGCCAGCGCTGCAGCCAGCCTCAGCCCACTGCCCAGCCCTGACCCCACTGCAGCCGGCCCTGCTGCCAGCGTGGCTGCTGCCACCGTTGGCGCCAGCAGCTCCGGCCCTGCGGTGCCTGCCAGCCCTGCAGCTGCCAGCCCTCCCCCAGCCCTGCATTCGTCACCGACATGCTGGGCCTGTCGTGGGCCGTGCAGCTGGCGGGCGGCGGCCACAACGACAGGCGCGGCCACCTGACTGTCAGCGCGGCGGACCTGCAGAGCTTTGCAGACGTCACGCCGCTGCTGGGGGATGCCGCCGCACTGCGCAGCTACCTTGTGCCCCGCCTGCTGCTGGCGCACGAGCAGCTGGAGATGCGCACTGTGATGTACGACATGAGCCGCGTGATCTGCTCGGCGCTGGTGAGCTGCGCACGGTGCACTGCACGAGCCCCTTGTTTGCCGTGCGCCCTGGCTGTTCCTCGGCTCACACTGCTGCACTTGCTGAGTTGGTATGCTTGCACGGCGCTCGTGCGAGCCATGAGCTCAACTGCCCACCTGCCTCTGCCTTCTCATCCACATCCACCCCGCAGATGCTGTGGCTGCAGCGCTGCGGCCCCTTCCAGGAGGGCTACGCCATGGGCAAGTGGAACAACGCCACAGGCACTTTCGATTTTGACGCTTGGATGGCGGTAAGGCTTGATGGCAGCAGGCGGTGGTGGGGTGTGGGCCCCATCATGCGAGGGCGGCAGGACATGCGGAGGCCAGCGCGGCGACCCGTCGTTGCTTGGCACAAACTCTCCTGCGGGATGCTTGCTTGCTGTGCAGGCCCAGCAGGAGCGCACCCCGGGCATCCAGCCAGCTGTGGCAGCTGCGCTGCGCAGCGGCATTTTTGACGGGCAAGCCATCCTCAGCCTGCATCACATCACCCGCCGCACAGCACGTGAGTGGCTTGCATGGGCGGCGCAGCGTCTGGGAGCAAGCTCGGGGCTGCAACAGCGGCTGGAAAGCGATGGCATGGCACGCGCATACGCCTGCAAGCGCGGCATGCAGCTGCGCAGGGCAAGCAGTCAATGGCACCACATGGCAGTCCCGCCCTTGACAGCGCGCACTGGCCTGCCCACCATTCCCTGCATGTTGCATGCAGGCTCTGCGGGCATGGCCGTTCCGCACGGCGTGGACAGGACGGTCGGCGCGCGCCGCCACTACGGCGGCGACATGCAGCAGGCAGAGCACATGCGCACCGCCCGCGAGCGGCTGGCGCAGCTGGCGTGCGAGGCCGGCATCGCGCCCACCTTCGGCAGCAGCAAGGACCAC